TTCTCTTCCTTCTTCAATGAGTTTTGTACTTGGATCACAATTTTTCTCTCTTCTCCAACTCCTACCCTCATACTTGGGGTTTTCAATATACATATTGACTCTCCCTCAAATAACCTAAATATATAGTTCCTCAACCTGCTCACATCCCATGACTTACTCCTCCACCCCACTTCAGCCACATTTTTTCTCCTCTACTCTCTTCTTAAACCCTTGCAATCTGGCTTTTGACATCATTATTCCAATGAAATTGCTTTCTCCAAAGTTATCATTGATCTTTTAGTTGCCAAATCTAATGGCCTTTTGGCTTACATTTCTTCTTTTGAGAACTGCTGGTTCATATCCTTTAACTGTGTATTTATTGGTGAATGATGCCTATTCTCATATATATTGGAATTAGTTCAAAATATATCTTAGATATATTCTTCCAGTTGACTGTTTCCCTTCTATTTTTAGTTGCATTGATTTTGTTTGTAAAAATGTTTTAATTTTATGTAACAAAAAATTTACCATTTTATCTCCTGGCATCCTTTTTTGTCCTTTGTTTGGTCAAGAATTCTTCCCCTAGGCATAGTTGTGGAAGGCATTTTCTTTTATTGCTTCTCTAATTTGCTTATGATGTGACTTTTTATACCTAAAGTATATACCCACTTGGATATATGTGTCTCCAGTGTCTTGTTTCATAGAAGCTCATTTATATGTGACTTGTGCAGACCTTGAGGATGATAACTGGGCAACTATGATAACCAGAATTTTTTAGTAACTGTGGGATAATTGTATATTGCCATTGTACAATTACACCTTGTCCATGTGTAAAATGGTGTTCTACACCTAGTTTCTACCAGACTAATTTGCAGAAGTTTTTGTTGAAGCCTTTACCCCAGTAAGGATTTCTTGAAGTCTAGATTTCCTTTAAGACTGTTATGTATTTCATTATATTAACATACCACAATCTGTTCAGCCATTCCATGACTGACTAACATCACTTTCCTTCCAGTCCTTTGTTACTACAAAAAGTGCTTCTATAAATATATTTTTAAGTATATGGGACCTCTCCCTCTGTCTTTGACCTCTTTGGAAGTATAAGGCATTTCACTGCTAACCTTTGTCCTACATTAGAGCTACTCTCTATGTCAACTAGCTTGGTGGATAGAAAGTAGGCAGTTTTCTCCTCTTCCTTCCCCAGCTCAAAATAATCCCTGCTTTTGATTAAATTATCAAGACTCCTAGCAAATATACTCATCATAGCCATTGTCAGGTCCGTTCCATCACTTGTCCCTAAAAGCCTGTCATTTCTATATTTTAAACTGTAGTCCAGCATATATCTCACTCTCTGTCACCATCTTCTTAACCAGCTCTTCATTGTCTAAATCTTTCTCTTCTGAAGCCCTTGCCTTCAATTTACAGCAGTAATGAAAATTCCACCTGTGTGCCTAAAGGCTCCAGTTTATTTGATAAACTTTAGCAATGCTTTCTAGATTTCTTTTGTTATCTGTGCCTACATAAAACTACTGGAAATGAGTAATAGTCATCCCATTGGACAAATATTTAGAGATTATCTTTGACACATATCCCACATAGATGATCTCTCTGGTGTGATTATCAGGTAAACAAACAGCTGACTCACTACTCCGCAGAAGCAAGTTATCAACCACTCTTTACTCATTCCTTCTTCTGACCCTTGCTTGGTGACCTTTCACATGAAAGTACCTGACAATCTATTCTATAGCACCATTCCATGGAAGTCAGGCAAGTGCCTCCTACACAGAATTTTCAGTTTCCTCCTTTCAGTAAGAGTCTTATACCTTTTTCTTAGCTCCAAGTGTTCAGTACTTCTTCTTCACTCTCTCCTCTGGTCTATATTATTTATCTATGGAAAAATTTTCTCACTTGACTTTTTATTTTCCTTTTTATTTATTTTCCACCTTTTTTGACCTTTCTCTGCCCAGTTAAACATGGCTTAAAATTTTTCTCCCTACAACTTCTTATTTTAAGTAACTTCTCTGCCCTTTGTCTTCCATGGTATTTCTCTTCCTTTCTAGACTATTCTGATTTTTATTTTCTGATTTGTGGGCTATTTTGCTCTCTTTTTCCTTGTTTATTTTTTTCTCTTTCCCTAATGATGATAAAGTTTCTGAAATATCAGGTTTGGATTCCCCATTCTTTCCTATTTCTATATTATTGCCCTTGTATGCTATGCCCTAAACTCCATAATTTCTGTTGTACTCCTCTCTTAGAAATATTGATATATGAAGGATTCATGATGAAAGCATCTTGTGCAATGGAAGTTCCTCTGTGTTCTACCCTTCATTGCTCTTCATTTCCACCAAGTCATTTCTGCTATGCTTCCATTCCATTCCATTTCATGATTTCTGCATGAGTATATATATTCTTAATATACAATGCTTCCCCATTCCATCTACCCCCTTTTACCTCTTCTATTTATTTGGAAGAAGGCATACCCATCCAGAGCCATTCATTCACTCACTCACTTTCTAAATATTTATTATAGTCATAGGTTTCATCTCACTGAGTCTCAGTAATACCTTTGAGGTCAATTTTACCTCCTTGCATTAGGACTTCTAGCTCATCTGAATTAGGAGCTCCTTTGCACATATCCTGTAATCCCCTGAGGGAGTCCTACTACTGTTTTTAGGTCTATCCAGAACCTGGTGCGGTTTCCAACTGAAATGTCACCCATCCCTTCTTAGAGAAGATTCTTAATCTCTCAGGTCTCCCAGCAACAATCCTGGAGGGTTCCGAAATCTTGAATGGCTCCCCCAATCTGAAATTACTCCATCCTAGACTAACTCACCACTCCTACACATGGTATCATCATCCTCCACTTCCATGTTTAGTTGACACCACCTGTGATTCTCCACCTCCCCCTACTGGTCAGATTCTAGTAATTGCAGTGGATGCTTCCCAAGAAGGCAGTGTGAGGGTGGGCCAAACACAAATGTGAGAGGAAGATGTAATCTGTTCTTCTAGGAGGACACAGAAAGCAGGAATCATCCATAGGATTTTACCCCGTCTGCCTTTGGACAAGGGTCGGAGCTAGGGACAAAGCCAGCATGGTAGAGGGAAATGCAAGTACAAAAGGGTGCCATTGATGTGATGCACAGAGCAATGAGCTAGAAGTCAAGAAAACTGAATTATGGTCCTGACTTCTAGCTGTGTATCCTTGGACAAATCATTTTACGTAAGCCTCAGTTTCCTCAAGTGAAAAATGAGGATAATAAGGCTAGTACTACCTACTTCGAAAAGTTCTCATAAGGAAAACACTTTGTTAAAGTACTAAATAAATGTAGGCTACAATTTGATGATTGCTGAAGTTCCCTTCTAGCTCTAAAATACTAAGATCTAAGAAATACAGCATGGGTCATGCTTGTAGAGTCTTTAACAGCAGCATACAGCTACACAGAGCCATACAATGTTGAGGTGAAAGAGACCTTAGTGATCCTCTGTAGACTAAGCCCTTCATTATATAGATGAGAAAAGCTCAGAAAGTCATTGCTATTTGTCCAGAGAATTCATGGCCAGTCTAGGACTAAAGTACAGCTCATGTTGTGGAAGATGTGGTTAGCTGTCATGATGGGGAAGGGAAGAAAGAAGCACATGTGCTACTATGTGCCAGGCACTGTGCTAAATGCTTTGCAAATATTGCTTCATTTGATCAGGATGTCATTCTGAAATGTAATGTCTATGTGGACAGCAGTGTGGGGTAGCAGAAAGAGCACTGGGACAATGGCCCCAATACTTGGGCCCCAGTCTTAGCCTTACCACTAACTAGATCTGTCATCTGTCAATCAAATCACTTCATCCCTTAGTTTTCACATAAAGGGATATTTGACTAGATGACATCTAAAATTTCTTCCAGCTCAAATATTCCAAAATTCATTCATACTTCCTAATACTCAGTAAATAATCCATGTTTAGATAGCATTTATAGAATGTTTTAAGTTTTGCAAAGTGGAGAAAAAGTTTTACAAAGTGTTCTACAAATATTATCTCATCTTATCCTCACAACAATCCAAGCCTCAGTTTTCTCTTCTACTAAAATCCTACTGTTCCGTTTTTCCTCTCAATTGGCTGGCACCTTTAGGGAAGAGCCTACAATGATTCTCAGATCTGGTGGTAGCGCAGTGGATCTCAGCTAGGTGCTGCAGTGGATAGAGCACCAGCCCTGAAGTCAGGAGGGCCTGAGTTCAAATCCTGCCTCATAGACTTGACACTAGCTGTGTAACCCTGGGCAAGCCACTTAACACCATTGCCTAGCCAAAAAAAAAAAAAGGACAGGGATTCCAGAGGTCAAAGAATTATGGATTTAGAGCTGTAAGGGGTCTCATAAGCCAACTTGTCAAACCCCTCATTTACAGATGAGAGAACTGAGGCCCAGAGAGGTTGTGATTTGCCCAAGATCGTCAGAGGTGAAATTTGAATGCAGGACCTCTGACTCCAGAACCAGTATTCTTCACCCCACCCTACAGTCCGGCTGGTCTTACTTCTAAAGAAGAGACTGGCCCATCTCAGAGGCCACTTCTGAAGACAAGGGAGCTGAGAACAACCTACCTCAGAAAGGCTGCCACCTGTCCCTTAGGCTTTGGAGAAGGAGTCTCAGCTCTAGGAATGGGTTGAACCTGGACCACCCACCTACTCAGTCCCATTCCTTTTTCCAACCAGTCCTGCTCCCCCTACTTCAATAACTCTCTTAGTCTTGTTCTTAAGTGCCAGGACCTAGGATGAAGTAGGAGGAAGGAGTGAAGGATCTGCACAGATGTGGAGGCAAAGGAGAATGATTCTGCCCAAACACAGGAGCTTCAGTTCCTAGCCACACTAAACCTTCCCTCAACCCCCTCCCCCCAAGTATACTACTCCTTACTGCAGACCCAGTAATTCTCCCCAGTCTGCCCACCTTACCCAATACCCAGAGATCTAGCCAATCAAACATCACACCACGGCAGGGAATTCTGTACAAAAGAATTATAATCAGAATGGGTAATAATAGTACAGCAGAAAGAACCCCTGGCCCTCTCCCTCATCCAATTTATACAGAATTGGGGAAGGAGTATGTGCAGTAAGTGGGCAGGGTAAGGAAAGGAAGGGGTGGGGTCCTAGAATGGTGTAGGGAGGTAGGAGATAGCCTGGAGTTAAATGGGAGAGATATCGGCACTTAGGGATTGCCCCAGGCCTGGGAAACAAAGCCAAAAGACCAATTGGGATCAGGCTTAGGATGGCATATGAAGGACCCCGAAGGGGACTGGGGAATAGACACCACACTCAGAAGGCCCTCATCCCTGTAGGGTAGTGAAGCTCCCCCTACCCATGGGCCTTTTCCTGGGGGAAAACCTAGGTCATAGCCAGCTCAGAGGCTGAAGGAATTAGGAACTATGGTGATAGAAGAGGAGAGGGCTCAGCTGAAGAGCAGAGGATCAAAGAAGGCAGATGGGAGGGCTGTTCGAGCACATACATGATGATGTGTGTCCCATGTCTATGTCCTGCGAGTCTTATTACATCTCTGAGTTTCATCAGAACCATCAGCATCTTCAGTAAAATGTTAATCAACTCTCACTTTGTGGTTTATCCATGGGGAATTTCTAATCCTGCTGCTAGCTAGGTATCTCCCAGCTACCCACTTCATCCCCAGCAGTTGCTCAGGATCAGCAAATTAAATGTGCTATAATACTGATCCAAACAGGGCAGCAACTGTAATACTGCTCACCCTTTCCTTCCAAAGGAGGATAGTTCCCCCCAAAATACACACACACAAAAAAAAACCAAACAACCAACCTTCACCAAAGCTTTGGAGTTTGTCAACTGTTTCACATTCCCCATGCTGCTGGTCCCTCCCCTGCCCGCACTGGAGTGGATAATTGAGAGCTGACTATGTTAGCGCATGCCTGTACTGAGCACTAAGTCAGGAGCTCTCCTCTGGGAGCTGCGCTCAGGATCTGTCTCTTTAAGCCTGGGGGGGGCGGAGGAGGGAAGATGTCTCTGAGGCTGGCAGCTTGTGCCCGTCTCTACCTCAGGGTGGTGCTCATGCCCAGCCTCTAGGTTCATAGCGCGGAAGCCCATTCCTCTAGCACCTGGTGTCGCATTGGCTCTCGAAGTTTCTCTGCAGGATGATAAGGGCTGTTATTCTCCTGCCTATATAATTAAGGGGGAGATGGAAGCATGAGGGGGGAGGGGAAAGGGGAAGGGCCTGAAGCACATGGCAGAGCTGGAAAGAGAAGCCAATATTCTTTACTTCTAGTCTGGCACTCCTTACTTCCCCAGTGGTGGCAAAGCAAGATAGGTGAGGGGCTGAAGACTGTGAGAGGGAAGGGGGAACTGTACATGCTCTCAGTGGTCAGCATTGCAAGGTAGAAATGTATTTTGGCTGAAGAGTCTGTCTCATGAATGGCTATCTCCCCTCTGGAGGGAGGTTCTCCAGAGGGAGAGACTCAGTCTGAGGATCCTCTTCTAAGATGGGACAGGTGGCCAGCGTTGAGGGGCACCCTTTCCCTCTGCTGAGCTTGGAGCACTTCAGAACCCCAGAGATATGGCTTACCCTGACTCTGTGAGCTGGGGTTTAATGCATAGAAAAGCCCTTTGAAGGGTCTTCTGACAGGTTCAGAGTGGGGGCAAGCACCCTTCTCTTTAACATGGCCACAACTTTAAAACTGTTCATAGTGAGGGGGTGTAAGGAGTGGTTTGAATCAGGACATTCACTATTTGGGTTACTTCCATTGTACCCCTCACTAGAAGTCTAAGAGAGATCTGGTTTTGCCTGTGTCCCATGAAAGAGAAGCTGTGCTCACCTTTCCAAGTACTCAGGTCCTCTAGATCACAGAAACCCAAATACACAGGATGGTGAGACCCTCATCCCTTTCCCCCTCTCCACCAGGGTTACAGCAAGATGGGAGAGAATAAGGTGAGCTGGAGGGGGAGGAAAGGGAACACACTCTATCCCCAGACCTCGAACAATCTTGAAAGAACAAGCAGTTCATCATCCCAGCAGGACCCAGGCTCCTGGAACTGCAGAACAGGAAGGGAACAAGGGCCATTGGAGTGTGGCTGGTGAGGCCTCTGGTGGTCCCACCGGGATCTGTGGCAATTTGCAATTCACTGGTTTGGGGCAAAAGCCCCTCGTTATCTGTGAAGAGAGCGGAGAATAGTCGGTGCTTGCCTCAGTGAAGTCCTTCATAAATATTAATATCAATTAATATGAAAGAGCCATTGTGGTGACTAGCCCATTCCTAGCCTCACACCTCCACCCCACCCCATCCCCAATAATTTGGCAGTCTCTTTTTCCTGGAGAGTTCCCTGGAAGGAGCTGGAGGAAAGAGAATTTAAATGCCCCACCTACCGAACCTCAAAATCTGGTCACCTCCCACAAGTATTGTTAGATACCTATGAGGCTCCCAGGATAGCACCTAAAAACACAGGACTGCCAGGGATTGGTATGTTCCCATTAGGGAATCACCACTAGGTATAGGGCCATGTCACAGATGTGACTAAATGGAGTTGAGGAGAGACCCACTCTAGTACCTGAGACATTAAAGCTATGTGTAGTAAGTAGAGAATAGATTAGACCACTTCTCATGAAAACTGGGCATTCACTACTCCGGTCACTTCCCAAGACACGTGCTTTGGTCCCTCATTAAGAGAGAGATGAAGAAAGAGCTGGTGTTTTCTGTGTCCCAATAGAGAGGCTATCTTGAAAAATGGACTGGAAACCATCTCCCACAGAAGGAGCTGCTTCTCCTGGCTTAGTAGCCAGACATCTTTAGCACAGCCCCTCTTGGACTTTTAGCAAAAAGCCAGAGTATGCATCTTACTGGAAATGGTCTAAGTACATTCTCAGTTCCCCGAGAAGTGCTCCAATCCAACCCTCCTTTCCCTTGCTACATATGTGTTAGGATTCCTTATGAGCTCTCATTTGGGCAACTTAAACAAGATCAAAATATCCCTGATCCCTGAAAGTTGGTAATCAAGTACCTGGTACTGAGGATTAAACTCAGTCTTCCCCAAACACAGGAAGACCAAGTCACAGCTCTCTCAAGGCCAGGTATATAGAATTTATTTACTGGTTCTTGCTGCTTCCTGTGCCAACCCCCCCCCCAAGAAAAAAGGACAGTCTCCCTTTGCAAGGGCAAATCCCTAGGTGTGTGGCCAAGTCACTTCCCCTTTTCTGGGACTGTTTCCTCATTTGTAAAGTGGGAGAGTTGGACCAGCTGATCTTCCAGCTCAAAGTCCTATGAGCCTAAGCACTTTCTGAGTTGTCTCACTATTTCACTTCCTGCTTCTTGGACTTACAACTCTGTGTCCTCCAGGGCAGGGGGCCGCTCCAGCACCTGGCGACGTCGTTTCACCGCCCCCAAGATCTTCTTTCTGGGACCTAGGGGGATGCTGATGCTATGGAGGTCTAGTTCAGAGCAGAGCATCAGGGCATCCAGATCAATCTTCTCCTGCCTCAAGAGGGCCACAAAGTCATCCATGTGCAGGGAGGCAAGGAAAGTCTCTAGCGGGCTGGTCTCAGGCTCCAGGGCCTCATCCAGCCCCAGGTCAAACTCATCCCAAGGCAGTTCATCAAAGCGCTCCTGCAAGCTGTTGGCACTGCCGATGCTATCATCATCTAGGCTTGGCGAGTGTTGCATCCGGGCACGCAGCGTGCCTGCCCCATCTATCTCTCCTTCCTTCCCCAGTCCCTGAAGCCCACTGCTTACATAGTTCCTCCGGAACACCATGGTACCCAGGCCAGGGCGAGTAAAAAGAGAGTCATGGCCTGAGTCTGTGCTGACTTCTGAGTGGGCCGACTCAGCCCCTAGGCCAGGCTCCAAGGTGGCACGAGAGACGCTGTCCTCATCTGAGAGGAACATATCTCGGAGTGGGGAACGGCCCCACTCCTTAGGGTTGGCACAGGTCCCCTGTCGGACAAACATCACGTCACTGCCCAGCTGCAGTCCAGACAGAGAGCGGATGCTTTTCCTCCCGTCTTCCGATATCTTGAAAGTTCCTTCGCCATGCTTACGCCGCTCCAGCTTCCTCTGGATTTTTGTCTTACCTCGGCCGGTCCCGTGGAGGGTGGCCTGGGAGTAGGGGAGGTGGCTGGCCAGAGACAAGCTCTGGAGACGCCGGCTCAGGGTGCTGGAAGAGAGGCTGGAGTAGCTCAGTGTGTCTGCCCGCTCGGCCAGCTCTCTCCGGTAACGCCGCTCCATGCGTGCATGGTGTTTGCGCTGCAGTTTGGCGCAGTCCTTGATGCGCCTCTCCGCTTCACGGAAAGCTTTCTCTTTCAGCTTGCCCACAAGTTTGGGGTTCAGGCTGCTCTGCTTGGCCGCGATGGAGTCCAGGTAGCGCACACACTCCATGTGCCCTTTCATGGCTGCCATGTCCAAGGGCGTGTGGTAGTCATTGTCCAGGCACCAGATATTGGCCCCAAAGGACACCAGGAAGGACAAGCAGTGGAGATGCCCGTTAGAGCCTGCCAGGTGCAGAGGGGTGTTGCCCCAGATGTCACATTTGTCTGGATCACCTCTGGAACGAGATATGAGAAGCGGTTGACTGTGGAGGAGCTGGAGAAGGGGAACAGGAGGGCAGGCGGTACTACTCTTTGAAACAACTTAGAAATCAGTGGTGTTGCGCCTAGACAGGAAGCATTGGAGTGGTTGCCCTCAGCCTGAATGATCATCAGGTACTGCTTGTCTCCTGGTGGTCCCACAATGGACCATGCCAGAAGGGGGCTTGAGATGCCAGAAGATGTCTCCTGGCTGAAAAGATGTCCTCTTTACCCCAAAACACAGAGGTCCCATGAGTCAGTCTAAACCTAAGACTTTTATTCTAAAGCAGGGGTTCTTAAACTTTTTGGTGACATGAACCCCTCTTCTCAGAACAATATTTTCAAATGTATAAAATACGATACGTAGGATTACAGAAGAAAACAATTATATTAAAATACATTTATAAAAAATCTTTAAATAATACTAGCTAGCATTATATAGTGCTTTAAAGTTTTCAAAGCACGTTGTAAACAGTATCTCATTTAAGCCTCACAATAACCCTGGAAAGTGAATGCTATTAATATTCTCACTTTATAGAGGAGAAAACTGAGACAGAGTTTAAGTGACCTACCCAGAGTCACACAGCTAGCAAGTACCTGAGATAAGATTTGAATTCAGGTATTCTTGATTCCAAGACTAGCACTCTAACCACTATGCTACCTAGCTTATTAAAAAAAAAAAAACAATAACTTAATGGATCCTAGGGTAAGAACCCCTGCTGTAAAATAAACGTGCATAGAGTCAAGAAGATAGAAAGCCAAAAACACTGACCTAAACAGACAGAACCAGCCAGAGAGCTATCAGACAGTTCGCTACTGATAAAACGTATTTTTAAAAATCTCTGAGTATGCAAGCCAGCATCACCATCCCAGTCACTGGTAGGTGGGGCTCTGGTCCCCAGCTCAGGGCCGCCTTGCCCATGACACACACACACAGGGGCTGGGAATCTCAGAGGATTAATATTTGATGCGTTGAGAGAGAGGAGTGAATTATTCATGCTGCTCAGCGAGGAGCTGGCCCAGAGAGGTGGTGGGCCTGGGGTGTTAGAGTGTGTGAATGCCCGAGGCGGATGGGTGCATATGTGCATGTGGAAGGCTATGTGAGCAGTTTGCTCTGTGTGTGTGTGTGTGTGTGTGTGTGTGTGTGTGTGTGTGTGTGTGTGTGCACTCTAGCAAATGAACTCAAGTACATTTTGTTTGCAGGGACCAGGGCCAGGCCTGGCAAGCCCATGTGTGAGAGACAGGTGTCTGGCCTTGGCCTTGGTCTGAAGGGGACTGTGGGGGCAGCCAGGCTGGGTGAGGGAAGGAGGAGGAGAGTGTAGACTGGGAATTGAGCTCCTCAATCTACCCCTTCAAAGCTTGTTTTAGGAGGCTTAGTTAGGGGTGCCCTTCCATACTCCTGGGTGGGAGACATATTCTTTAGAGATCCCCAAATACTTCTTATAAACCCAACTCCTGGAATAGAATACCTTGGAAATCTTTTACCTTGCTTACTGACAAAACCCCTCAAGACCATCAAAGTCACTGTTTGAGGCAGGCCCTGATTGTCTGGAGTAATCAAACGCTATCTCCTTCCATGATTTCCCAGTCTGTGGCTGATTCAAAGCACTCAGTCCTATCCTCCCTATCCTACTGCACCCCCACCCCCCATTCTGCTGCTAATGAGGTCCCAATTCAGGCTGAAGAATTGCTCCCTTGTCTCCTCAGCTTCTCCATTCCTCTACCCCCTAATTTTCTTCCTAATTGGATCCCAAGTCCAGCTTCACAGCAGGCAAATAGACAGGCCTCACCGCCTTTACAGGAGACCACTGTCAAGTTAAAAAAAAAAAAACCCAAAACCCAAGAGCCCTCCTCTAAAGTGGGAGCTAGCAGCACAACCCTTTCAGGCCACAGGAATCCTCTTGATTCTCCCTATGACCGCTTCCCAGAGCCAGAGCAAAATCCCCCTAAAGGCAAATGAGGTGACACCGACAGCCTGTGAAAGAACTTTTTTTCTATATGGGAAGTGAGGGAGGGAAGAAAGAAAACCTTCAAGAGTCAGAGCCCCTGGACTTATACTCTGTCTAGTGACTTGGCCTCCTGGGGATGTATCTAGTCTCCTCTAAGGCTAGAGCAGAGGGAAATGAGAGATTAAGGTAAAAGGAACAGAGAAGGCAGAGCTCAGTAAGATGAAGAGATGCCAAATGTGGACCCCACCTGCAAAGTGGAGCCAGGAGAGACCTTTGGTTCAAACCTGTCTCTGGGCAAGTCATTCAACCTTTTATGCCTCAATTTCCTCATCTGCAAAATAGAAATACCCATAATTCCTACCACATTGGGTTACTATAGGGATCTACTGAAATAATATACTTAAGCTTTGTAAACTTTAAGGCACCATATTATGTCATATTGGTGTATAATGGTTAGTTATTGTTATTTTTATTACACATATGCAGGGTGTGATATAATGAACCACTGGACTGAAGAAGAGAATTAGGTCTAGTTCCAGCTTTGTCATTTGCTAACTGAGTGATCTTGGGTAAATCCCTTTACCTCATAAGGACCTCAGTTTCCTGGGGAGTTTGGATTATATTTTATGAATCTATACATTCCTTTTCAGTCTCCTTGGGATCCTACATCTCTTGAGAGCCCCTTGCCACCAGGCCCCTAATAGTTGTGCGGTGATTCAGGGAGCCAGCTGATGGGTGGAAGGTAACTTAACAGCTGTTGCTTAAAAAAACAAAACAAAACAGGAGCAGCTAGGTGGTACAGTAGATAGAACATGAGCCCTGGAGTCAAGAGGACCTGAGTTCAAATCTGGTCTCAGACACTTGACACTTACTAGAAGTGTGACCCTGGGCAAGTCACTTAACCCCAATTGCCTCATCAAAAAGGAAAAAAATAGTTAACAAAAACAACTTATCCAGGAAAGAAGTGGAGGCCAACCCAGCAACCCTCTCCCTTATGTTGTGTGCTTTCTCCTATTTCAGTGGTCAGCTTATTGGCATATCAAGCTATCTTTGGGAACGCAGGTATTTCTTGAGTGTCATTCCTCAACATTGGAAAACAGTTCTAAGGCCGACTGTCTTTGTCAGTTTGGGTGAAAATTTCTGTTGCCTTACAATTATTCAGGTGCAAGGTCCAGCTTCGTGTAGCAATAAGTGACACACAGTTCAGAAATAAGTAATTGGTCTCCCAATGATTAGAAAAGAATCTAAAAACAAGGCCTTGGAACCCATAATTGATGCTGTCTATGCTATTGCCAAGTCTAATGAAAGGAGCACCATATTTTGAATGAATAAAAGCATGTTCAGGAAAAAAAAACATTTAACATATTCAACTTTTTTTTAAGTTCACAGACTCAGGGTTGAGTCCCTGTAGCTAGGTGGAGCAGTTGATAGAACTCTAGGCCTGGAATCAGGAAGACCTGAATTCAAATTCTGCCTCGGACATTTACTAGCTGTAAGAGTCACTTAAACTCTGCCTCAATTTCCTTATCTGTAAAATGGGGATCATAATAGCACTTACCTCCCAGAGCCATAGTGAGGATCAAATGAGATATCTGTAAACAGTGCGTGGTATATAGTAGGTTCTTAATGAATGTTTGTTCCATTCCCCTTTGGAGGCAGCTAAGTGGTTTAGTGGATAGGGCATAATCATTAGATCGCAAGTTCCTTGAAGACAAGAACTGTCTTTTGCCTCTTTTTGTATCCCCAGTGCTTAGCAGATAGTAGGTGCTTTGTTGTTGCTGCTCTGTCATGTCCAACTCTTTGTGACCCTATTTAGGGTCTTCTTGGCAAAAACGCTGGTTTACCATTTCTTTCTCCAGCTCATTTTACAAATGAGGAAACTGAGGCAAACAGGCTTAAATGGTATTCCCAGGGTCATGCAGCTAATAAGTATCTGAGGCCAGATTTGAACTCAGGAAGATGAGTCTTCCTGACTCTAGGCCAGGCACTCTATCTACTGCACCACTTAGTGCTTACTGAATGTTTATTGAGTTGAATTGAATTGAATTGAGACCTGGGCCTGGAGTCAGACAGACCTGAGTTCAAATCTAGCTTCAGATATTTCCTAGCTGACCTGGGGCCCATCAATTAACCTCTAGCTGTATCAGTTTTCTCAACTGGAAAATAGGGATCATAATAACACATTCCTCCCATGACTGTTGCGAGGACCAAATGAAATAATATTTGTAAAGCACCTGACACATAGTAGGCTTTTAATAAATGCTTGTTTCCTTCCCCTTCCCCCTCTACAGTCAATTCTTTGTCTCTCAACCACTACCCCTTTTTCCTAGGCAGATTTTATCCTTTTATTAAGGTTTTGACCACTGGGTTCCATGCTCACGTCATCCCCACAGGAAACCACAAATGACTAGGCTTCCAAGGGGAAATAGTGCAGAAGTGTGCACTGTACACAGTTGCACACGTGGTTTCAAAACACACAAGACAAGATGCTTAGGGGAGAGCAGTGTAGGGGGCAAGCCAAGGCCAATGAAGAAAAGCAGTGGAGAGGAAGAAAAGCTGGGGCAGTCATATTTTGCCCTTTCTGATGAGAGCTGAAGGAGAGGAAACCCAATTAACGGGGGCAGTGGAGCAAGGCAGCTGTGGCATTTTCAGGCTGCACAGTACAATATCCATAAATTCCAGGGAATGAGCAGGGAGATAGAGAGAGGGAGGCCAGTGGGCAGGCAAAGGTGGCAAAGCCAGGTTGCGTAGGCCCAGCTCTTCTACCTATGGTAGAGAGGGGACAAGGACAGCCTCCCCTCCACCACCCTATCATCTTTGACACTTCTCTTCCTCAGAGGTAATTTTTGGAAGGGGATCCCTGATTCCTTTCTCCTCCTATTCCTGCAGCTGCCTTTCTCCTAAACTTTCTGGTCATTACCTTGACCTCGGGACCTGGAACCCCAACCCCAACCCTTCCTCTTTCAGGCTTGCTATCCACCTACACACACACACACACACACACACACACACACACCCTGCCCCCCAGGCACCCCATACCTAGGTCAGGCCACAAGAGCTGGGCTTTGAGGGAGGGGAAGGCCAAGGCATGGGCCAGATTTTAGGAGAAGGGTATCCTAAGAAAGGGCAAGGAGAGGCTATGGGAAAAGAGGGCTGGGGTCAGGCCTCCCTCATTCCTAAAGTTTTCCAGGGAAAAGAAACACCTAGATCCGCCAAGGGGGAAAGAGCCAGGGAGGAAGGGCGGCGGGGAATGGGGACCTCACCCTCGGCTAACGATGAGACGCAGCGACTCCAGGTTACCGTGGTAGGCGGCCCAGAGGGTGGGGGTCATGCCATCTTCATCTGGAGCATTAAGTTCCTTCCGGGTGGCTTCTTTGAGAAGGTCCAAGTAGCCATCCCGGGCCGCCCGGTGGTACTGGTCGTTCATGGTGCCAGAGTTAGATGGGACGGGGAGGGAGAAGGAGGTGGACTTCAGGGGGAGCCGGCCGCGTTATTAGAGCAGAGACATTGGGTCTGGGAAGGGGGAGGGGGGCACGGGGCCCGCCGGCCCAGCTGTTACAGACAGAGGCTGCCTAGAGGCTAGAGCCGTGGTTACCCGGACATCTGAGATGCCCTCACCCCAAAGGCGGGGGTAGGGGGACAGGGGAGGGAGAAGCGGGAGACTGAGAAGATCTCCGCTCGCCTGCTGCACTGAGAGCCGTCCCCAAGCTCCCCCTGGGTCCTAAGTGCCATCTACCAGTCTGTCTGGCCAGACAGGGTTTTTACCTCACCGTATCCCCAGATATAAGTAAAAAGGGCATCCAGGGCGCACCACACACTACAGGAGCAGAGCGCAACTAGGAGTACTCTTTAATAGTCCTTTTTTTTTTTTAAATCATTGCACATCCTTTAAGTACTCAAATAGACCCTTCTCCTGGGGCTTGGCTATTTATTCTGGGATATGTCATTGTACAGTGGCTAGAGTGAAGAAGACCTAAATTGCAAATCCCTGACTTATGCCTCTGATTCACTAGCTAGGTAATCCTGGGGAAGTCCCAGAACCCCAAAATGCGCCTCAGGCTACTAACTCCTTAGGAGCATTCACTGCTACAGCTACGTCGCTTACCAGCCTCGATGGACGAGTTCCCATGTCTGGAGTTCCCGATACTAGTGGAATCATAGATCTCAGTGTATTCACCTAAGTCTAGAAGCATGAGCGACAGTGAAGGCTCAAAGCCTCGGGGGACAGTAAGTGACTGGGAAATGGGCAAAAAATACCTTGTCCCTCTGCTTTCTCGTTTCGAAAAGTTCCTGATCGAGATTTTGTCTTTACCCTTCAACGCAATAATGATTTATTCATTTACAGACTATTTTGTATGTTATTTGCATGATATCAGCGCAGTGGTCCTCACCCTAGGGTCTGTGGACCCCCAAGGGAGCCTTGAAGAAATTTCCGGGGTCCGAAAACTGGGATGTGAAAAACTTACATCATTAGCTCAATATATATGATTTCCTTTGTAATCCGATTCATTTTATTTTATGAATTTAAAAACATTCTTCTGAGAAGGGATTCACCCTTGACTTCACCATACTGCCTGTCAAAGGAGTCCATAACACAAAAAAGGACCCCTGTATCTGTGGAAGGATAAAATTCACCAGTACCAAGTCTCTCTACCCCATCCTCCGAGGAGAATTTCTTTTCTGAAGATTCAGTGAGAAGTTGGGCAGCTTTAAAATGCTGTGGACTTCCATCCCAGCCTTCTCCATTAATAGAACAAGAGCTGGAAGAGACCTTATAGGTAGTCTAGACCAATTCCTTAATTTTATAAATGAAGAAACTGTTTCCTAGGGAAGTTGAGTGATCAAGGTCACACAGGTAAGAAGCTTGAGAGGTAATATTCAAACAGAGGTCATCAGCAGGGGCTGGTGTCACAGTGGATAGAACTCTGGCCTTGGAGTCAGGAGGACCTGAGTTCAAATCTAGCCTCAGTCAATTGACACTTACTCGCTGTGTGACCTTGGGCAAGTCACTTAACCCCAACTGCCTAAGCAAACACACACACACACACACACACACACACACACACAAAACAAAACAAAGGTCATCTGACTCCAGAGTCAGTGTTCTTTCCATTGGAAATCTGTCTAAGGAAGGGAGTCAAGCATATATTAAGTGCTTTACAAATATCCTCACTTCACTGTGGGAGTACTATCATTATCCTCATTTTACAGTTGAGAAAAATGAGACAGATAGAAGTTAAGTGACTTGCTCAGAGTCACACAGCTAAGCAATGTCTGAGGCTGAGTTTGAATTCAGTTCTTCCTGACTCCAGGCTCAGTACTCTATCCACCGCTCCATCTAGCTGCCTTCTAGGCACATTTGGAAATGGCTTGAAGAAAACAGAACTTAGAATCATAGAATCTCGGAGTTGGACCTTCAGGCATTATCTAGAGTAGACCCAATGGTATCAAAGAAGAGATATCCTTTCCAATATCCTTAACAAAGGATGGATGGAGAGCTCAGCTGCCTCCGGAGGCAGCCCATTCTCTGTGCCACACAGAAAACAAAGAGGACCAGGACAGGAATAAAGGTAGGCCACCGGGTAAAATCAGGGTACTTGCCAACATGTGCCCACGTAAGCACCGGATCGAGCTCGCATCCTGGGTATCCGACTTGCAGGCTAGCCAACTAGATCTCCAGTAGTCTTCCTCCGGGGGGAGCTGCAGAGTTGATAAAGGCCCCCGCCTTAGGAGCCGAAACCAGCTACAATTCCTAACATAAGAAGGAAGCCTGACCTTAGGGAGAGGGGCTCTAATAAAGAAAAGGCAGAGACGGGCAAGAAGGAACAGGCGTTCCGGACTTTGCTTCTCAGGGTCTGGAAAGGCTGGGAGAGTAGAAAAAAAAGAGAGGGGTAGGGAGGAAGATCGAGCTGTCACGAAATGTTCGGGAAAAGAAAACACAACTGTGCCGTCGGGTGGAGACGGGAAAGAGTGCTATCCAAGCTTTGCGTGCCCGGGACCAAGGTAGTAAGGGGGTGGGGTCGGGAAATGAAGGACAGAAGGACATAGCTATGGAATGGGAGCTTCCGAGTAACGTGGAGGTGGGTAGAGATGACTACCAAGAACCTAGGAATGCGCTCGGGAGGTGGAGGACCAGGGACTTTGGGGGACGAGGAGGAAGAGAAGACAGAGGACAAGGTACCCTTCCCGAACCGCAACGCCGGGCGGGGCCGCGCCCGAGTTCAGAAGCACTGAAATGAAGGAGGGAAGGGGTTAAGGGATAAGAGGCGAGGTCACCAGATGGTTATAAATCTAACCGTATCTCTCTCCCAGGTGCTCTTCCCCAAAATCAGATCCGAAATAAAATGGATCATGTGAGCGGGGCAGAGAAGTTTATGGAGCTGGGTTGCCCTCCCGCCAGTGGTTGTAAATACCCATGCCAGCCCGGGTATAAAACTCCCACCCAGCCTGGCGTGGAAGAGAAGAGCCGTCAGTTGACCCCCGGGTCTCAGCTCAGCCCTGGCTCCAGCCAGGTGGGTACTTCGCTGGCAGGGAGCGTCGGGTGGGCTTGGGGCTGAGGAGAGCAGAGAGGACAGAGAAGGCTCCCGTGTCCTAAAAGCCCCCAGCACTTGCTGGTGGGGACTCCCAGGGAATCCCATGGGCTCCTCCTCTCCTCCCTTCGAGGCGACCTTCTAAATAGAAGGGAAGAGAGAGGAGTGTGGACTTTTGTGGTCCTTAGTTCCAGCATCTTGCCCCTTCGACTGCTGCAGAAAGTGGTCCCACTTCAGAACTGGCATTGTGGGGGAGGGGGTACTGGAGAGAGGGGAGCTCTCGTGGTTGATATGGGGTCCTGTCTGCTCCTCCCCCTCAGTGACTCGCCACCTCTACCTTCCCCGGCCGCCACTGCCATGTCGGAGGAGATGGTGCCGGGCACCAGTGAAAGACCCCAACCCCCGGAACCCACGCCTCGGGAGGGATGGAAGAAAGGCGGCCAGATGCTGTCGGTGCTGCTGTCTGTCAATGTGCTCCTTCTCGCCAGCACCCTCATAAGCAGCGGCGCCTTCAACAAGGTGGCCGTGTACGACACAGATGTGTTCGCACTGCTTACCACCATGATGCTCCTCACCATCATCTGGATTCTCTTCTACATCTTCCGAACCTCCCGACTCCCGGATGCGGTCCCCTACCTGGACTCGCACGCAGGACCAATCTGGCTTCAAGGTTGGGGAGAAGTTAAGAGGCCCAGAAAACTGGTGGAGGCAGGGTTGGAAATGAGGTGCAGGGGTTGGTGGGGAACATGCGGAGGGGGAGGGGGATTCTGGCCTAAAGTTGCCCTAGGAAGAACTTGATATGGAAGGAGTGCTATGACTTGGCATGGGTAGGTGAGCCAGGCTTGGCGAGGGGACTGACTGGGTCTGAGAAGAAATTGTACTGAGGAAAGGGAAATACTGTGAAAGGGAGAGAAGCATCTTACCGTCTGCAAGGGGGTAGTGGAGATTTAAAGTCAAAAAACCCGAGATCAAATTCAGATACTAGACCTTGGGCCAATCATTTTAACCACATTAAACCACAGTTTGCTTCTCTTTGAAATGGAGGTGGGGAAGGAATTGGGGTGATTTCCAAGTTCCTCAACAATTTTAAAATCCTATTGTGGCAAAGTTCCCTTACAGCCCCATATATGATGACCCAATGCAATCCTTGCTTCCAGAACAGAGCAAGCAGAGGTACTAAGCCACTGATTGGGAACATTAATCTCTAACTTCTTTCGACCCTCCCAATATCTGTCTTTGATCGGTGGGCCACGCAGAATCATGTGGGAATGGAGCCATAGGCAAGTTTGAAATTATATATCCCAGCATCTCACCTCCACCATCTCTGCTCCCAAGGTGGGCTGATCCTATTTGGTGTCTGTACCCTGGTCATGGACGTCTTCAAAACAGGCTACTATTCCAGTTTCTATGAGTGTCAGTCAACCATCAAGATCCTGTATCCCATCATACAGGCTATATTTGTCATTGTTCAGGTAAGTGGGGAGTTCAATGTCTGCCTGATGCAGGTAGGAGCCCCTGGGACCTATGACAGGTGCAGGAGGGGTTTAGGAGTGGAGCAATTTGGTTAGGAGCTCTGTTCATGGTTACCACCTGGTGAGGATGGGGTGGCTTGGGGAGAAGAATTCAGCAACAGTTTTTATCACCAAGAATCTGGCCCCTTCTTCTTAACTGATCCCAGTTACACACAAACCAGGATTCCTTTTCTAGCCAGAATTCTGCCTAGCCAGGGCCAATTTGGACACAACCATGGGCAAAAGGCAAGGAGGATTCAGTTAACTAAGCAGTTGGAGCCAGAAAAAAAGTTTTCCCCTATCACTGAACATTAATTAAATGCATACCATGTGCTAGAGACTATGAAATGCAAAACTGAAAGTAAACAGTAGTTGGGGTTTTTTTAATGCGTGAGATTATTTCTTCAGAAGCCTTCTTTGCCCATTGTCTGTGAGGCATCAATAACCAGCAGATTAGAGAGGCATAAAGCAAGCTACCCTCCTTTTCTTTTCCCCATTCCTAACATTTTCACTGTTCATTACTGCAGTTAAATTTCATTATTAGATATTCACTTCTTTGAGGTCTGTGCACTCGGTTAAAATGCAAATGCTCCTGAAGGGTAACAGTTAAAACTAACATCAACTAATATT